TCTTGCTTTATGTAATGGCAAAACATGCGTGCAAGAACTTATATGTGGCGACCTTCCCCCTGCCGCCGGCTTGGCTGGGCGGAATAGCCAATCAGAGAGGAGAACGTTTTGGCAGCTTCAGTATAAAATGACGTTCCCCTATTTTGTGGCCGTCCCTCCTCTGGCTTCAGCTGTAGCATACACTTCCCGGCATGCATCGGGAAGCGCTCGGCTGAGGGAATCGTAGGGCTTCTTTCCGCACTGCCTTATGGGATTTGTGGTCTACGCGTCTTGATTTCGTTTCCGGCGGGAAGGCTTGGAGAGAGAGAGTGGGCCGCTGCGTCCGCGAAGCAGAAGCTGCTGGTGTTTTTTCGACAGGTACTTAGATTGCAATAAAGCAGATTATCACCCGGGCGTCGAGAGGGGAGAAGTATTGCTTTTTTGTATAAGGGAGGGAGGGAGGCAAACAGGAGGCTTCCCTCCCGCTTGCTCTTTCCTTGGATCGCCAGAAACTGAACCATAAGCGCTGGAGCAGAGCAAGGGGGAAACACAGCATTTTAAAATAGAGTAACAGATAATTGCTTTTTTACCGCCTTTTTGTGATCACCTAGTGACATTTTATATCAGAGATTTCTGAAACGGGGTCTGGATAATCGTCGTGGAATTCTTCCCTTGCATAATAGGGTGGTGCTTAACAGGGAGGTTGGTAGGTTGGTTGGTATCCTGCCCATCTAGTGCTGGGACGCTATTCTGGGCGGCCAACAACAATTAAAATACCACCACCCAGTACCCTCACTGGGTGACCTTGGGGCAATCTCTCTCAACCTGGTCTACCTCACAGGATAGGAGGGAGGTTAACGTGGGGAGGAACAAAAGCCACGTATGCCAACCTACAAGTCCCTGAAAAATAAAAATAGGTTAACGTGGGGAGGAACAAAAGCCACGTGTGCCAACCTACAAGTCCCTGAAAAACAAGAAAAACAGACCACCCACAAAGACATAAAGAACCAAGAAACATTGAAAACACAAGGTATCTTCAAAACGTGACAGAAACCTGGATGGCAAATCGAAATTGCTGGGTGTCTCTTTTTTTATTATTTTTCGGGGACTTTGTCTGTTTTTTCTTATTTTTCATGGACTTGTAGGTTGGCACACGCGGCTTTTGTTCCTCCCCACGTTAACCTCCCTCCTATCCTGTGAGGTAGACCAGGTTGAGAGAGATTGCCCCAAGGTCACCCAGTGAGGGTCACAGCTCAGATCACCCCCATTCCAGTCCATGAGGACTCTAACCACTACACTACACTGGTTCTCCCGTGCTGGCTGCCTTTCGCCCATAGGTAGACTGGGTGACCTTGGGCAAGGTTGTTCTCCTTCAGCCTGGCCTACTTTGCAGATTTGGAAGGAAGAGAAAATTCTGCCTGGAGCTCATGGGAAAAGGGAGAAGGGAAATATAACAAATATTCAGCCAGTAGAACCTGTATTTGAGGATAGTGACTATGCTGTGTGGAACATCTCTGCAAAAATTATGTAGTGTATGGTACCTGTAATGTAAACTACAGGCCTGTGCAAAAATTATTGTGTTTCCCCCAAAATAAGACAGGGTCTTATATTAATTTTTTGCTCCAAAAACGCATTAGGCTGATTTTCAGGGGATTTTTTAATTTTATTTTTCATGTACAACAATCTACATTCATTCAAATACAGTCATGTCATCTTCTGCTGTTGCACAATGTTGGAGGGTGGGGTTTTCACTTAACTAGGGCTTATTTTCGGGGAAACAGGGTATTTGTATATTGCATGTTAGACTTCTTTTATTTTAAATCTCCCTTCACCTGGCTCTGTATTCATAGGCATGAAGGCATCTTGTTAATTTTATGATGTGTGATGTTTTTATACCACTGTTCCTCAGAGGAGCTTGGGATAAGTCACACCTCCCCCATGTATGTTATACTAACAAGAATGATATGTGAGAGAGTGGCCAAAATTTACCCGGTGAGCTTCCTGCCTGAGCAAAGATTTGATCTTGGATCTTAATGCTCCTAGCCCACCGCATTAACTATCATACTACATTGGCTGTACTACATTACAGAAACAGATAATGTCTTAATGTCGGACATGACTCATAACTATGCATTGAAAGATTGACAGTCCTCTCCCCTTTACCTACCTTGTAAGGCTTATATTTAACTGGGAGCATATCTCTTTGTTTTGTAGATTTGCAATCTTTAAGTGCAGTACAGCATGTTTTCAGATACAAAATCAATATAAATCCATAAGAGCAATGAACAATGTTCATTTCATAAATCATTTAAATAACATTAATATGACCACATCATATAAAATCTAAAGTAACCAACACACATTGGAACATGGTAGGTCTTTTTAGTCCATCTAGAAACTAACCCAAAAGAGAGCATTCAAAATAAAATTGTTTCTAGGCTCTTAGAATCCCCCCTTCAGGATTGCCAAAGTCTGGGTGGGGCCACCACAGAAAAGGCCCGTCCCTGTTCCGTGCTAGTTTCAGAACTCTTGCCAGTGAATCAGGGAGCAAGCATTCAGATGCTAATTGTAGATTCTTCAGCCTTATATGTAACTTGTTCCCAACCTGTTTACATT